AGATATATACATAATTAATGAATACTTATAGATCCTTTGCATATGATACACTTACACAGGCCTGCAAAAAATATTATTTAAAAGTTGTTTGAAATTTGATAACTGTACTTTTCAGCGCTGCTTTAAAAAATGCAAACCATTTCTTGTCTATCACGTCAGGTTTTCTCGCAAAGTAAGGAGTATCTTTGAATACTCAAAATCTCTTTGAATAGTGAAACTACATTTTCAGTGCGCTTGCATTTCTTTATAAGCTCATAAGTCCTTATAATAACGCTTTCGATTTTTGTCGAAGCTTCTTCTACTGTTTTTCTGGCTATGGACTCGTTGAGGATCATCTCTTTTCATCATCCAGCAGTAGTCTGCGACGATGGTCTTGTGGTTTGGATCTCTTTTGTTACCTAGAAAACCGGAACAACTATTTTAAAAGATGTCCATGCTGCCTTTTCGTTTGTGTCCATTTTGTCCACAAAGTTGGGATCTGTCATTAGTTTTCTAATGTCCAGTCCGACAAAGATTCCTTCCTTTAGCTTTGTTGTGGATAAATTAGAAAACTGTCCACAAAGATATCTGAAATACCTATAGTTAATGCCAAATTGTTTCATCAGCCCCAATTTAATGTGAAGTGGTGGAAGTAACACCTTTTTGGGATCCACAAGGCTTTTTACTTCAAAAATTTTAACCTCTACTTGCAAGCTTTCTCTCATGGGCTAAGCTTTTTTTATGTGGTGTTGCTTTAGGTCTCTACTGTCCCATTCACAGAGGGAACTTTATATAGCCACTTTGTTGACCAAGCAGCATTGAAATCACTTTCCACATAGTGTCGTCCATTTATGGTCTAAACATCAGAGTTTGCTTTAAACCAGTTCAAGGTTTTCGTAACATTCTTTTTTAAGTGAACCGAGTGTCCAACTGGTATAGAAGCATACTTATTGCCATTGTGTAGAAGTACTGCTTTAAGGCTTCTTTTTGAAGAATCAGTAAAAAGTCTCGACGCATTAGGAGCATATTCTAGTTGGAAATGTGTTCATAAGTCCAGAAACATCACTGCAAAACACCAGGTTTTCTTCTTAGGAGAAGAAGGATACAAATTCCCTTTCCCTGTATGAAATACGAAAAAATAAGAAAATGATGTATCCGGAGCATATGTTTATTTTTCAATCTAGATCCTAAAATTTCTGCCGATTCTTTAGGAAGGCCTAGGAATCTTACTAAATCGTTTGGTTCAAATTGTGAGAATGGAATGGAATCGGTTGTGCCAGGGTCGTAGCAATCACTGTTTTCGTAGCAATGGCTAATTTAATGTTAGGGTAAGAAATATCCTTTTTGTTTCTCAAATTGAAACCTCGTACGTTGCAAGAACAAAAATAGTAGTTATCACTATGATTTTTGGGCTGCCTCCAATTGGTATTCCAAAACATAAGGACTGCTTTTTACCTTAAAACCATTGCCTCAGTTCTTCAACACACACCGAACAAACTTTGTGTGGAGCCCAAGGCTTATCCTGATCGCCCAACTTTATAATAAAAAGCCAGATATACTTTTTCAGCGAAATCGGAAACGTTTCTGTGTTGGTTTTTAACGGTATACATCCTCTGGTAGCCATTGTCCAATATCTATACAACACAATAACTTCACAACATAAGAAAACAGTCACGATTTTAAAGAACTAGTAACAACAGCACGTGAACTGCACCGAGTTTAAAGCTGACCGATACAGAGACAGATAGGCACTGACATGAAAGAAGACGCAGTGACTCAGCAAGTGGATGGGGAGAGGGTATGGCAAGAACAAGTGCTGACATGAAAATACTGTTGGTTTCTCCTAATTACTCTTTATTATATTATTTTGTGAAATAACTGTACGTGATGGATTTTTTTCACTATTTTTCCAGAAATCTGCGTTGAAAACAGTATGAAAATCACTTATTAAATTTTTAAACAATTTCTGGATCACAGGAATAAATTTCCATTCCTCTAAAAGGCCTTATTGTAACTTATTTAAGTTAAAGGGACAGGAACACGACTTCGTATCCTTCGCATCCTTCGCCTAAGCATGTCCCAAACATGTTCGATTGGGTTTGCGTCTGGACTCAATACTGATCAATATATTACAGGAATGTTTACTTCATTTAAAAACTGTTGAGTGATTTCGCTGTGAGGCTTAGCATTATCAAGCATCAGAACAAAGTCATTTCCATCAAAACCAGCATAAAGCACAACAAAATTTGGATAATTTCCTCAATATACCTGGCAGCTGTTATGGAGCCTCTCGGAACGATGTACAATTCTGTACGTGCCTCTAGAGTAATTATAGCTCATACCATAATTGAGCCCCCTTGGTAACCTACCCTAGAACTGATGGTACATTCTGAAAAAAGCTCATGTAGTCTTCGGTATAGGCACCTGGAGACTCTCCCTCGGCCAACTGGAGACTGCGAGACAAACCTGGACTGATCGGTAAATAAAACGTGCCTCCAATTATTTACAATAAAATGAGCATGGTTTCTGGCAAAGTGAAGCCGCGCAACTCGATGGCGCCTGAGAAGTTGTAGGCCTGTTGCAGGTCTGCGACTACTTAAACATTCTTCTCCAAGCCTTCTTCTAACTGTTCGTTTACTTTCATTAGTATTCCGATAGTACTAAAGTTGATTTCGGATTTGTACAGCCGTGGCGCTTAACATCCTATTACAAAAATGCCGTGACCAAAGAAAATATGTATTTGCATGTTTCGTGGACTTCGAAAAGGCATTCGATAAAGTACAGCATGTAGAATTAATGCAAATACTGAAAAATATCGGAATGGATGACAAGGATATTCATGTCATTAAAACTTTGTACTGGAATCAAAGTGCTATCGTAAAAATTGGAGATAACTACACCGATGCAATCCCCATACAACGAGGAGTCAGACAAGGTTGCATTTTGTCGCCAACATTGTTCAATGTTTACTCGGGCCAGTTATTTAAAAATGCACTTGAGAGACAACCATATGGAATAAAAATCAACGGGGAACTACTTAATATGATTAGATATGCAAACGATACAGTAATTCTATCAGATAATGTTGAAGGTCTTCAAATTCTGCTTGATCGTATTCACGAGGTAGGAGAGGAAATGGGCATTAAAATAAACTCAAACAAAACCAAATTTTTAGTGTTTAGTCGTGACCCACATCCCGATACAAAGCTTCAATTAAACGGAGTCCAAGTTGAGAAAGTTCACAAAATGACATATTTGGGAACTGTGATAACGGACCAACTAGATCCAAACATAGAAATAAAACGTAGAATAGCAATGACTAAAACTAATTTTTTGAAAATGAAGTTATTTCTTTGCAATAACCATCTCAATTTAGAACTAAGGCAAAGAACGGTTAAGTGCTATGTTTGGTCCGTACTTTTGTATAGTGCAGAAGTGTGGACGCTAAAAGTATCGATCATGAACAAAATTGAAGCATTGGAAATGTGGGTTCATAGACGAATGCTGAAGTTACCTTGCACAGCAAGAAAAACTAATGAAGAAGTACCAAGAAGCGTCAACAAAGATAGAGAACTGCTAAAGACCGTTAAACATCGAAAAATGACTTATCTGGGACATATAGTAAGGGGAAGTCGATATAAAATATTACAACTGATCCTTAAAAGCAAAGTAGAGGGCCTTAGAGGTGTAGGAAGAAAATAAGTTTCTCGGTTAAAAAACATTCGTGATTGGACTCAGATACCAAATGCAGGACAATTATTCCATATTGCAGAAGATCGAGAAGCCTTCGCAATGGCCATTTGCTTATAATACTTATATTTACAGTTTTGAATACCTTAACAATATAATACCACTTCTTTTTATTATTATCGGCTACAAATTCTTGTCCACAGGATATTTCTGAAGAACCTCTGGTAACAAAATTCCTATGACTTTGTTTTCTTGTAACGAGCGTAAATCCATCATTGTTTTGTTGTTTGTTTCAGCACGGAGGTTGATTGACTGGATATAGCGTTGGAACTACCAAGGTTGTCATTCTCTGTGTGTATTTTTTGCACCGCTGTGTTCACTTCGGATGAGTTGCTGTGTATTTATCACTTCATCACAAACTGATTTAATTATTCGATTATTCACTGAAGTAGGCACTGTTCCTCGATTATTAAATTGATTATTGAAATCGATCTTATTTGAGGTTACATTTAAGGATGATATTCTATCAACTAATAGGCGGTTATTTTTGTCATTCGTCTCTTCTATGAATCTATTTAATAGCAGCACTTCCTGTTTTAACATATGATTCTCAGATCTTATTTAAAAACTTAATATTTTTCTTCTTTGCACAACTATCATGATATAATTCATCGTAATTTATGCAGAAAAATGTCTCTACTTTTTTTTGCACAACATTTATATTTTTTACTCACATTTAGAACCATTTAAATCGCTTTTAATACTACCAGTATCGGATGGCACTTCATCATCCGTCGGCATCTTTTACTTATTCGTATATATCGATCTGATAGACTTTGTAAGAGGATGAATCGATCTTCACGTGCACTAGTTCTTCGTTGGGGACCGGCTCCTGGTCATCTAGTGTAAGCTCGGATTGCCAAAAAACGTGTAAAAATACGGTTCACAGTACTATTGGATATTTGATACTTTTGAACAACATATCGCTCACTTCTCCGTTTTGAAGCAACGCAACAATAGCATCCGCTGTTTCGGGATTTACGGTATTACGAATAAATATAATTTAAAAGTTATAAAATTAGTCACATTGCACTAATCTGGTAATATTATGTAAAAACACATTAACTATTGTTACAGTACATGAAACTCATCGGGTAAGCATCTTTAAGGGAATAGATATAAAGGATATTGAAAAATTGAACAAAACAGTGTAGAAAACTTGAAAAAGTCGAGGACTTTCTTACATCAACTTCTTTTTGAGAACTACACCACTAACCTTTTGTACAATTTTAGTTTAACTCTGTAATAGATTTTTAAATTTTTCTTTGTAGGAGTTCAACTTCAAATAATCAAAGCTCTTCTAACAGTGGTCACCAGTCAGTATGTTGAAGTCCATGAAGGTACTGTTCTCATGGCAGTTCGTACATGTTATAACATTTTCCTTGCCAGCAAAAACCTGGTCAATCAAACAACAGCTAGAGCCACCTTGACGCAAATGTTAAATGTGATTTTCACAAGGATGGAGAACCAAGCTTTAGAGGCAGAAGTGAATGCTGAAATACAGAATAATGCTATTAATACAAGTCAGAACGAGAAGGTCATAATTGAAAATGATATTAAATCTATGAAATCTTTGAAAGTTGAAGATGAGGTAAGTAGAATTAAAAAGTTTTATTTTGAATTATCATCTTACCATCATGATACTAATAAATAATTGCCGTTTTCATATTCTCTTTTATATTTTCAAAAACTTTAATTGGTTCAACAAAGAAAATATCGTGATATGGCGAGTATTGCCGCCATTGAATAAGCATAACCTAGACCTAAAAGGCTTTAAACAGCGTTGGTACTCACTGTTGTATTGAGCGGCTAAATCGTACATGAACAAATCGCTTGGCTAGCGTGATGTTTTAATGGCTAATTGACCCCCACTCCTTCAATAATATCCTGACGAATTTTAAAACTCACGGAGCAATCCCTAGGTGGGTACATATAAGAGGACATCTCGTGGAATCTGGGAGAGGCAAAAGGTTGCAAATGATAAAACTAAACAATCTGAATTAGAACAAAAACTCAACATAATAAATTGGGACATTATTGTACTCACAGAGGCTAGGAGGAAAGACGAACATCGAATAAAACTAAAGTCATGTAGTACAATTTACTACAGAGGTAATGAAGACAATACTAACTATGGAATCGGTTTTATTCAGATCAGATCATTTATGTATAATGGCCCCTTGGCAGAAAAGAAGATCATAGCGATAATTATCCCTACGTGGAAAAGTGGATTCAGATGGTAATAATCCGATCATATACAAGAACAATACAAAGATTTCGTTGCTCATTTTTCGGAACATTATTATTCAAAAAGGTAAATCAATGTAATTATTGCTCAACACTCTAAAATTAATTAATAAGGACTGCAATCTGTTAAACCGAAAAAAGCTTTTTGGGTTGTATTTTATATTTATTATAAATAACACATAACGTTGTCGTAATATTAAAAAATGCATAACTTCTCAACAAATAAAAAATAAATCATTGTTAAATATGTAAAATAAGTGAGTCCATTTTAATTTAGGTAAGGAGAAATAAAAAGTACTTTATGTTACAATAAATTTATGGGAAATTTAATATTAATAAATCCAAGTTCATGCAAATCTTAAGCAAAATGAAATCAGGGGCTTCGTTAAATTAAAGGTGGAGGATGGATCATTTGTAGAATTCGAGAAAGTGGATGAATATATGTACTCAGGTACCCTTATGACCGACCAAGAGCAACAGATGTGCTGGTGCCATGAACAAAATAATTTTTTTTTTTTTTTTTTTTGGATGAGAATCTTCTAAAGAGATCTGGGAAGAGGACCCAGATACTGTTGGATTCGTCTGAACTATAACGTTGGAATGTTGATAAGGTTAGTTCAGGCGCCTACCAACTAAACTCACCCTCTCTTCCAGCAGCGCACCCGGAACTTTTCTTGGCGAATGCAACTTCTGGAGCACCACCGCGGTCTCCAATTTTCACGAAAACCTAGTATAGTCCTCGGTAGAGAGTCTCAAAGGTAGCTGAGTGACATAATGACAGTATAAAAAACAATATAAGTAAATAAATAGGACAGTTACACTATAAAATTAGTACAGAACGCTGAAGTATGTGTCTAATGAGCAAAAAACGCGAATTACAATTATTTTATTAGTCTTTCGGCCTATTCCTTCATCCTGTCTCGCTCTTTCTAGCGTCTCCTTTTTTTATGATTTCCGTTATTATTTCTAACACATAATCATAGTTCTTTCTGTTCTGCATAGCTAAGTCCAGTATATTATTGGGCGTGGCCTCTCCTAGCTTAATTCTCAGTCTTTGACGTTCTTGTAGAAAGACATTACATTCGAAAATGCAATGTTCCGCGTCATCAGTCACACCACAATCCATACAGATATCGTCATTTGTTTTTTTAATTCTGTATGTATACGACCTAAAAGAACCGTGTCCGGTCAGGAATTGTGCAAAGAAATAGTTTATTCTCTTGAACCTACATTTGTACCATGCTTTTACATCAGGTATTAGTATTTTAGTCCATTGTGCTTTTTCCCTTTGTGCCTCCCATTCAGATTGCCATTCATCAAGGATCTGGTTCCTAATTTCGTCTCTTACCTGTGTCAGGTGGCCGTTGCCGTTATTGTATAGGATGGCTCTTTCTTTCGCTAGGAGGTGAATGGGGAGCGTACCAGCAATCACCTGTAAGGCTATCGTAGATGTAGTCCGGTTCGCACTAACTACTTTAAGAAGGGGCTTTCTTTGAGCTTTTGTAATCAAGTCTTTGTACCTGGCAAACCTTAAGACTTCAATCCATACGGGGGCACCGTACAAAAGGGTCGAATGCACTATTTGCAAGTACATTCTTCTTTTATAATTACTTGGCCCTCCTATATTAGGCATTATTTTCATAATGGCCGCTGTTCTGCGTTCTGCTGCTTGGACTACATTTATCAGGTGTTTGGTAAATCGTAGACCTGTATCAAGGTGTATGCCTAGATATTTATCACAATTGGTTGGGACTATCGTCGTACTTGCAAATTGGAAAGTCAGGTTGGGTATCGCTCTAGGCCCTTTTAATATAATTATCTCTGTTTTATTACACGCCAGCTGTAAGTCGTTAGTTGTCATCCACCTATTTTTTTCCTAACCTAACCTAACTTTTCTCCAGCATATATTAACTTTATTTATTGCATCCAAGTTTGTGTCACCCTCTATTAGTATTGCTAAGTCATCTGCATATGCAATTGCTGACGCACCTCTGCCGTAATCTATTTCCAATACTGTGTTATACAAGACGTTCCACAACGTTGGACCTAATACAGATCCCTGCGATACTCCAGCCGATAGTTTTGTTTTTTCTTTGTTTGCCAGTTTAATATATCTGTCGGTGAGGTAATTTTTAATTATATTTATTAGGTAGTCTGACACTCCAGCGGTTTCCAGTTTCCTTATGATGTATGCCCAATTGGCAGAATTGAAGGCATTCTTTACATCGAACATAACAAGGATTGCCCATTTATTTCTTGTTTGTTTGACTGTCACATATAAATTTTACCGCGTCTATAGCTGATCGTGTTTTTCTAAAACCGTATTGCTGGTCAGAAATAGCTCCTGTGTTTAAGAGCTCCTGTTCAAGGTGGCGTTTTATGAGGCTTTCATAGAATTTCCCAATACAATCTAATAAACATATAGGCCTGTATGAACTAGGCCCGTCTGGTGGTTTACCAGGTTTTAAGATTAAGACTAAATTTGCAATCTTCAATTGGTCTGGGAATTCTTGGTTGTGTAGGAGCTCATTTAATACCTTTCTGGTGACTTCAGGATTTTCCTGTACCATAATATGTATGGCTTCTGGTGGCACACCATCGGCCAGGGGATCTCCCGATTTTTATGTTTTCGGCAGCTAATCTCATTTCATCTATGGTGAACTCGTCAGGTCTATTATCTAGAGTATATGGTAGAAATTGGCATTCGGGCTTATTAGGAAAAAGGGCTTTCGCAATTTCCTTTCTTTTTTCTACACAAAGGTTATATGGAGCCTCGGACCTCAGTGTCTTAGTGGCAATTTTATAGGCTTCACCCCATATATCGTTGTCCAGCGTGTCACACAGGTTCTGCCAGCATGTGCGTTTAGCCCGCTTTATTTCTTTATTTAGTTCTTTCTTTACTCGCTTATATTCTTCCAAGTTTTCTTGGGTGCTGTTCCTTTGTGCTATTCGCCTGACTCTGAAACATTTTGTTCTTTTAAGCTGTATCTCGTCGTTCCACCAATAGGGTACAGTATATGTGACACATTTTTCCTTGCTGCTGCTTCTGTATGCATGTATTAGGTTTTTATGGTAGTTTGTGAAGTTAGTAGCTTCTTCTCGTAGGTTGCTAATTTTATTTTTAAATAGGTCTTTGTTAAAACTTATCTTTTTCCTACCGCTCTTCGTGACCTTGATGCCAATCTCGTAAACAATATATCTGTGAAAAGTAAAAAGGTTTTCGTCAAGAACGTCCCAGTTAGATATTTGATTGGCATAACTTTCGTTTACGAGGGTAATGTCTATGTGGCTTCGGCTTTCACCCCGGACAAAAGTAGGTTTTCCATTATTTAGCGCTGTTAGATTGGCCGTAAAGATCCATTCGTTCCATAAATCCCCTCTATAGTTATTTCGTGGGGAACCCCATAAGATAGATTTAGCATTTATGTCGCCAGCGACTATAAAATTCTTTTCTATATGTGACATTTGTATTATGGATTCAATGTGCTGTTTGTATTGATCTCTACCTATGTTGGGTGAGATATAACAGGCAATAATAGCTACTTTTTCTAATTTGATTAGTACGTGCCCCTCCCCTTTTATAATCTTATTTATGCACACTTTATGATTTATGGGGTATATTGCTACATCTTCCCTGTTGTCTGTAATCCATCTGCTATTTTTAATGATTCTCTTGTTTGGTTCAGGTACTATTAGAATATCTGCTCCAATTTCGAGGGCTTTCGCATGAATCAGATCATGTGCAACCTTGGCTCTTCCGATGTTCACTTGTAGAATTTTTAGTCTTTTTAACCCGGTTAAAGCCATTTTGAAATCATTACTTTAGTATCATGTGTTAAAGGTCACATAGGATGACGGAACAGGCACTTAGACTGAAGTTGTCGGAACTCCCTGTGACAACGTCACTACACTAAAGGTAGCTGTAGCTTCGTCGCATAGAGATTTGGAGGACTCCAAAAGGGAGTTAACATGAACCTTGTTTGGAGAAGGGAAAGGAGGTATGGGAGTGAGCGTAGGAGGGAAGACATCCGCGTATTCTTCTTGCTGTTTTCTAAGTTTCTCATGATATCTCGCCTCCTGAAGGGCCTTCTTAAAATGTGTGCAGTCCATGCTGCCAGTTCTATGGGCGTCATTACAAAGAACGCACCTTTCTTCCTCTTGACACTTCTCTGCTTCGTGCTCTGATTTACCGCAACGGTAACACATACCACTCCTATCAGGGCCTCGACATTTATCGGTGTCATGCGTGTATGCCCAACATCTGCTACATCTTTTTATTTTTAGTCTTTTCTCGACTCTGCATCTACATACCCCAACTCTGAGAAAATCTCTGCGCAAAAGTATTTTAGCTACTCTCGCCGGGATGACAATTGTTGTGGCAAGGGTGTTGCCCCTCAGTGGTCGCAT